CGAGCTTCACAATGATTTGCCACCTTTTCCCTCTAGGTCCTGGTCATCACACCACCCTTCTGCTCAGGAGTCAGCTGCTTTCTGTTACTCAGACTCTCAAAAAGGGGTTTTCTTTTGCGGTGAACCGCTGTGAACCAGGAATTCTTAACTTTTGAATTCAAGACCCATGGAGGGAAACAGTGCCTTAGATCTTTCCTTTTTCCCTTGAGGATGGCCAGCCTATATTTTGAACCTATATTTTGGTGGGAAGTGAAATACATCCCTTACACTACTCCTCTGCTCCAATAATTTAGGGTGAGTTAGAATTTCTAAATTAACTCTAGTTCTTGAAGGATCTTCTTGCCTCTAGAGAAGCAAAACTTGTGTTCACTCACTCAGCTCTGAAAATCCCTGTGTAAGGCCACCTGCCCGTAACCTGTCTCAGTGAAGGCTTCCTTCCTCAGCACCTTAGGAGCCTCGAAGGCCTGTAATAAAAGGAGCATCCAGGGATCCCTGGACTCAAACTCCACTTCTCAGAATTAAGTCGTCCTGATTTTCCAGCCTCTGACTCCAAAGTGTCTCCTTGGGTCTCAGGCTTTGGGTTTATAACTCATATCAACCTTGATTTAGTATTTTTCAACATTATTCATTTCTTAGTAATATAAATGTTTTGTTCTGCTTAATTTCTAAGCACTCAGTAAAAAAAACTTGGAATTTACTCAATAAGTGCAATATGGATTACACTTAAGATCTAGAGAGTTTCTCTCCCAGCAGCTTCATTAATGTGCAGTTTCCACAGACTTGCTTTCGGTCCAGCAAGTCCCATGGCTCTAACGAAAGCCCTCTCTGCCTCTGTCCAGTTACTAGCGAGAGCCGAAAGCACCAGGACTGTCGTGTCACAGCTGGCAAACTTTCCCACTCTTAACCAGGCTGAAATAAGCAAAAACCAAGAAACCATCTTTCACTACTGATTACTCCAGGAAGTCCCTGATCCTGGAAGAATCCATGCTGCCCGGAAAAAGTCAGCACGAATTGCTTATTCGCGAAGCTTCCTAGAGCTTCTCTGAGACCTGCCTTATCACTCCTACCAATTCAAAGCTACCAAGCCCTAAACTCCATCAGTCCTGCGAGGTGCCTCTCACCTTGTCAGGTGGATTTCAATGTCCTCTAGCCAGGCCCGGCAAGGCCAAGCATGTCCTCCCTGGTCCTGAGACCCCACAAGGACTGTGCAGGTGACTTCCGCCCTCACTGCGTAGCCCAGCGCACTTGGCGTTGGTTCAGCAAAGGTTTCCCAGGTGGCTGCTACAGAAAACAATCACCACTGACCTCTTCTCGCCTATGCTTTTCTTCTTTGGGAACATTATCGGCGGGCGCTATGTCCCCAACGATGCACTCTGCCATGTCGTGAACCAGGGCCAAGCGAATACACCTGACCAGGCAAGAAATGGTGGGAACAATTACACAGAGTTACATTCACCACAAGTTCCTTCTCTGGATTATTTTCAAGTTATAGAGGGATTTACTTGCTTTACAGCCACAGAATCATTTAATGTATTTGGTACAGGTCTCACTATGCAGCTCGAACTCGTAGAGATCCTCCTGTTGTCAGCCTCCCCAGTGCTGGGATTACAGGCGTGCACGTGCACGCCAGGACTCGGTTCCCAGCTCAGCACGCCTGGGGGGAGCATTCGGATGTGGTACACAGAATCATTTAATGAAGTATTTTCTGAAGCAACTATATTCCCCCAGCCTACAGTTCTGAGCCCAAACTGCCCACAAGCAAGTGTCCCACACAGCGCGGGAGTGTAAGAGGGAGACTGTACTACCTGTTGCCCTGTAGTCTGATTCCCCAATCTCACTTTTTTTTTTTTCTGTATTT